TGAAGAAACTAAAACGAAAACTATTAAACCACAAGACAAAACTCATGTGTTGCAGTCAAAGCAGTACTCAAGAAAATTTATAGGCTTATAAATTATTTTCAATATTTAAACGAAGGTACAGAAAAAGACAGTCAAGCACAAAGAAGAAATGAAATACATAAAAGCAGAAATTTTAAAAATTTAGAAACAAAAAAGAAACACATTTGAGCTGGTCAAACAAAACTAGTAACTAGCTCTTTGAAAGTCTCTCTGGGTTGGGGATTTAGCTCAGTGGCATAAGCGCCTGCCTTGCAAGCAGGCAGTCACGAGTTCGATCCCTGGTACCGATAAAAAAAACAGAAAAAGACAAAAAAAAAAAAAATTAAAAAAAAAAGAAAAAAGAAAGTCTCTCTGGAGCTGGGCATGGTGGTGTAATTCTGTAATCCCAGCACTTGGCAGGCTGAGACAGGCAAATTGTTGCAAATTTGAGACCAGCCTGGGCTATAAAGTGAGCCCAAGGCCAGCCTGAACTGCATAGGGAGACCCTGTCTCAAAAAGACAAAAAAAAAAAAGGTCTTTCTGGTTAGTTGAAATTCTTCTAAATCTATGCAAGACAACCGAAAGGATGAAAAATAAGCTCTCGTTAGGGTTATAAACAAGAATAAAACTTAAGAAAGTACCAAGGGCCAGGGATATAGCTCAGTGGTATGGTGCCTGCCTGGCAAACATAAGGTCCTAAGTTCAATTCCTGGCACCAAAAAAAAAAATAAATAAATAAATAAATAAGAAAAATAAATAAATAAAAGAAATTACTAAGAAGCTGGCCGCTGTGGAACATGCCTATGATCCTTGCACTTGGGAGGCTGAGACAGGAGGATCACAAGTCCAAAGTCCCACCTGGGCAATTTAGATAGGCTCTGCCTCAAAAAAGAGTGGGGATATCAAACATTGTTAAAATCTTGGGTTTAATCTCCAGTGCCACAAAACAAAGAATACATTATACCAATAATTCAAAAAACCTACATATAAGCAACTTGTAGGAAAAATTTAGTAACAGGTAATATTTACTGAATGCTTATAACATGTCAAGTATTTATGTAAGTAATTTACTTTATTAAGTAATTTAATACAAGTACTCTATGAGACAGGTATTGTTTTCTCTAATACTGAGAAAATTGAAGCTTAGACAGCAGTCTGTTCAAAATCACATTCGCTAAGAAACACTTGATCTAGGATCTCACAGGCTGTTCTCCAGAGCCCATACCTTCACACTAAACTGCCTTTCAGAATAAGAAAGTTTCTTAAAACAGAAATTGGTGATTGAACAATAACAATAAAAGGAACAGATAGGACAACATCCACTCCCACAGGCCTACATCCTCTGAAGGGTTAATTTAGCGATAGCCTCAGGAAAGCCATCACTGTCTGGCGTCCTAGACCACAGAAAGGGATGGGAAGTCTCACTTAGAACACAAGCAGTGGTAGAAAGGGGCTGCAGTGCAAGGGCTGACACACGCTTCGCATGTACAAGGCCCACACTCACACTCACAGAATGAAGGTCAGCAATAAATATTCATGGATTAGAAGAGTTGATATTGTAAAGATGTCAAAACTAATCTATAGATTTCTGCTGGATCATGGGGTGATACACTTAGCAGTGGACTGATGAGCTTTTAGAAGGTAGTCTACTAGAAGAGGTGGGTCGTGGGGGGGGGTATGGCCTGGAAGGGTGTATCTTTCTGTCTCTCAATACTATGCTAAAATAAAAATGTTCATATAACAATATGGATGAATCTCATAAATAAATCTAGAGAGACAGAGGAAAAAAAAAAAAAAAAGAGCCAGGCACTTAAGAACATAAATGGAGCCGGGATTTAGCTCAGCAGTATAAGTGCCTGCCTGGCAAGCTCAAGGTTCTGCGTTCCATCTGGTACCAAAAAAAAAAAGAACATAAATGGAGCAGGGTATGGTGGCCCCCATCTGTAATCCCATCAGTTGGGGGGCTGAGGCAGGAGGATTGCTATGAGTTCCAGGCCAGCCTGGGCTACAAAGTGAATTCAAAACCAGCGTGAACTGCATAGTGAAACTCTGTGTGAGAAAGGCAAAACAAAACAAAACAAAAATAAATTGCAGAGTGTATAAATCACACATATAGATAAACTAATCTAGGTTAATTAACATAGCATCTTTAGGGTGAGAAGGAAAAACTGGAAAACAGCAGGAGGAGGAAGAGGGAGCCCATGGTTGTGCCATGATTTTCTGTTTATTGATCTGGACATACGTTACTCCCGTGTGCTCAACATGTGAATGCACATCACTGTGCACAATTATGATCTGTGCAACTCATGTAGATACTGCTGTAATAAAAATTAACATACACAGCAGAGTAAACAAAATGTGAAGTGGAATAGTTTTTCTACAGGGATGATAGAGACTCTGGACTCGACCCCCAGGACCAAAAACAAAACAATAGTTAGTGCCCAGTGGAAAACGGACCCCCAAAATAAAAAGCAATGCTCAAGTAAAAAAGTAAATGTATAAATGCACAAAGTGTAAATTAAAACAATGGAATGTTATTTTTGCCTGTCAAATTAGCAAAGATTAAAGGACACTAATACAGTTGGGGATGAGCTGGGCATAGAGGCCCATGCCTGCATTTCCCACATTCTATGAAGTTGAGGCAGGACCCCAAATTCAAGCCCAGCTTGGGCAAATTAGCAAGACCTTCGTATCAAAATAAAAAATGAAGCCAGGAGAGGTCATGAATTACACCTGTAATCTCAACACTCGGAAGGCTGAGGCAGGAGGATAATTGCAAGTTCGAGACCAGTCCGGGCCACAAAACAAGCTCAAGGATAGCCTGAAATGCAGAGCAAGACCTTGTCTCAAAAAGACAAAAACAAAGAAACAAATAAAAAAATGAAAAGAAGGCTGAGGATGTAGCTCTGTAAGAAGTCAATCACCAGTATCAAGAACCCCAAAAAAGTTGTTGATAAGAATTTGGTAAGACAAATATCTCTTGTTCCTAATAAAAATGTGACTTGGCGAAACCTTCCTGTGTAAGTCTTTTAAAAAGATTGTGTTCTTTGACCTGCTAGTTTCTAGAAATTACTCTAAGGAAAAATCAGAATTGCAGTTAAAGATGAATTTGTATCAGTTTTGATTACAATGGTATTTTGAAACAATTTACAGTTAAAATGGCTTTGCCATAGAGGTGGTGGAATATTTTATATATTATATAGATTTTTTGGTACCAGGAATTGAACTCAGAACCTTGCGCTTGCCAGGCAGGCACTTATGCCAGATATTATATTCTTAATAATGTTTTCAAAGAATAATGAGTAAGAATAATATTTATGATATATTTAAGTGAGAAATGTATATGAAATTCTATGTGGTATAAGTTTTCTGTTAAAAGTATCACACACATAAGCATAAATTTAAATAGAAAGTCTGTAAGAACACATACCATATTGTTAACAATGGCCATCTCAGGGTGGTGAGACAAAGGATTTTTGGTTTACTTTCCACAATAAGATGTTTTTGAGCATTTATTACCATTATATTCAGAAAAATTTTTAAATAATATTTAAAAAAACGTTTTCTTTTTTTTCTTTTTTGCTACCAAGAAATGAACTCAGGACCTTGCACTCGCCAGCCAAGTATTTAAAAAAATGGAGCCACCCAATTTTCCTTACTCTAGAAATCTAAGCAAACTAGATTTCTGTCTCCTTTGACTCCAACATTCAATCTGCCATTTCCTCACTTTTACGTTAGAAATGCCTGATCAAGTCATTATTTCACCGCTTCCTTTCTCACTTCCATTATTCAGGCCCCTGTCTTCTCTAGTGAACTCACATCCAGCCTCTCTTCACTGCAGTAAAATGGTCACATTTTCCACTATTACATTTGAAGCCACATTGTACCACTTTACATACCGACCTGCCACTCCTGAGCCCTAAAAAAATGCAAGCCAGGCACTTTCACACCTCCCATCCTCAGCGCTGTTTCCCTGTAGTACATTTTTCTGTCTTTCTAAATCGATTCACAGCTTGCAATTCACCTGTGCTGCCGTTTACTGGGTGTAGCTCTTGGAGGTAGGCAACAACAGGCAGTTGTTTCCAAATAATACAATAACAGTTTGTACCTATTTTGACATTTCATATTTTGTATCATTAATGCCTCGCCCTCTTGTTGTATGGACCACTTGTTCCATGCATTCATTTTTTTTAAAAACCATTTTCTCAAAACCTAATTGGATGCAGGAAAGTACAGCATATATACGCAACTCGTACCTACAGGGCTTTGAGTTGACCTGTGTCTGATTGAAAAATGGCACCAAAACACTCGATATTTTTCATTCAAGATGGCAGAGAGAACGTCTTAAAATAGTGCTACACAAAAGCACTCACATCCAGAGCCTGGACTCAGGAGAACTGGCTACACCTAGCGCAATAGCAAAGGACAAAAGAATAGGAACCTCGACGCTGAGACACCCGGCGCTCACCGCCCACCGCAGGTCCCACGCCCAAAGACTTGACGCGGTGCAAGAGCAGCGGCACCTGCTGCCCGCATTCCCAGGGCCACGCCTGGACCGTACAAGGTAACTCGCAGCGCTACCGGATCTAACCCCCAAAGACCGAGGAGGGGAAGGGAAAGGTGAAGTTGTCTTGGGGCGTCCCGCAGGCAGTTCGGCCCCGCCCCAGCCAGGCGGGGTGCTCCCCGTGGCGCCTCCAACCCGGGCAGGAACAGACAGGGCTCCCGCCCAACCACCGGGCAGCTGGGCCCCGACCGGGACTCTGGGCGGGCCCGAGGAGGAGGCCGGCTGCCGCCTGGGCGTCTCAGGCTCTACCTGTCAGGCTGCGGCCGACGCTAGGCCCCGAAATCGCTGGGGGTCGGTGGTTCAGACCCGCAGGAGCGCGTCAGCCGATTCCTCGTTCCGGGCTCGCCTGGCCTCCACGCCTTCCTTGTGGCCCTTTTCAAACAAAGGCAATCCACGCCCACCGCCATTTTCCCCTTACCTCAAAAACCACCTCTTCGTCAAACTCCGGTGTCATCCTTCTCCGCCATGCCACCCACCTCAGCACGATGGGAAATGAAGGCAGAAGAACAGGCGGCACCCAGACTTCTGCCTCTGCCTGTCCCGCGGGTCCTGACAACTACAGTTCCCGGCATGCTTCGTGGTTCACGCCCCTTTTTCCAGACATCTTATTGGAGCAGAGAATGGGAGTAGGGGCGGAGGGGCGGGACTAAGAAGAAACTCCAGCTTTTCCATTGGGGGAGGCTGGGCTTTTGTCTGCCTTTTACCGTGGCGTCTAGCAGAGGGCGTGCGGAGCACTGATTTTTGTGGAACTCCTGCGGGGCGCGCGCCGGCGGAGTCGCGGTGAGCGCTGCTCGGGCGCGCGCCTAGCTCTCAGCTCGGAGCGCAGTGGGGTGGCGCTCGTGCTCGCCCTCCTGCGGCTCCAGGCTGCAGGCGCTTGGGAGCGCCGCCGGGTAGCTAGCTGGAGACTGCCGCATCTTTTGTGAGGCGCGGGGCGGCATGTGGACGTTGCGGTATCTCTTCACGTCTGCACGGGCTCCGGAGACAATGGACCGAGATGGGATCACGGATTGATTAAGGGCGCCGGCGGGGCGGCGAGCCGCGCGGGAGGAATCATGACTTCTGCCGCCGGTGAGTGGCCGGAAAGTTTGGAGCGAGCCGGCGACTTTCCTTCCCGGGGGCGGGCGAGTTGGGTGGCCTCTGCCTTCCCGGGCAGCTCGGCGAGCGCAGAGCAGATGCTGCCGGGGCCCTCGTCCTTCCTGCCCGGCGCCAGGTGAAGCTCCGCAGCCGCGCTCCCCTCTTGCGATGCGGGGCCGCTCTGCCTTTGCCGGGGAGAAGAGGGTAAATTTCCATGTGAAGAAACCAGTTATTCCGGGCTGGCTTGACCACCAAGCTGAGCAGCAACTCCAGGATTAAGAGAGACGGGGCTGGCGGAGGACACCGTCCTCCTGTTCTGGTCGTTTTCCTCCTGCCGTCTGAGACACTGAGCAGCAGGATTGCCCCTGGCAATTGTTCTGCTTATCCTGCACTCAACTTTAGGAACTTTTTTTTGTCTTTTTCTGCTGTGTACATCAACAAAGCTGTATTTTTGTCCACCTCCTGTGTGTAGACCTTTCCTCTAATTTAAATGACAAAGTCTCTATTTACCTTCGGGTTTTGGGGCGATCCTGGGCGTTTTATTACTGAACATTTCTAAGGAATTTTTCCAAAATAACTACAGAAGTGGTGTTATCCTCACTTTATAAGAGCACGGATTGATTTTAAAACCAGAAGTTAATAATGTATTTTTAAAACCTTTTTGTTTATATTGAAAGTAACTTTGATTAGAAGTTTTATAGTAGTGTAAATCTTCCTTAAAGTTACTTTTAGGATCAGAATTTAGGTACCAGATTTAACTTTTCTTTGTTTTTCTTGGCATTTCTTTAAAATTCCTGCAACTTAAAACTGTCAAACAACACTGTAAAAGTTCTTTGTATTGTTTCTGAAACATAGATGTTGCGTTGCTGGAGTGTAATCTTGGCAGATTACAACTAACCAGGCAGGAATTTTGGCAATAGAAGTGAGGAAACAAGAAGTGCAGTGTTTATGTAGGTGTGGGTCTTTTCATTTTGATGTTTTGTGTGTGCACCTGAGACACATCATCATGGGGCATGGTAGTTGGCTTCCCTTATTTATAAACTATCCTGTCTTTAATAAAGGGAGAGCTTCCACTTACAGAAAGATTTATTTTCATTCTAAGTTTCTGTGTCTCACCTTTACTCAAGCTTTTTTTAAAAAAAATTAGTGAACCAATATCATTAATTTAAAAATGGTTATAAAATTTAAAGTTTTCCCACTCAAGTGTAGTTCTGTCTTTGAAGTGTCAAATGTATTTAAAATGTTACACAATTTATAATAAACTGGTACAGAATGACATTTATATATGTAGACAGGATTTCTAGAGCCTAGTCGGGAAGTTTAAGTCTTTCATTCTAATTACCTAGGAGAATGCAAGCTACTTTTACATTTTTATCAACTTTTTTGAATCCACAGACGTTTTTGTGGTGTTTAAAAGAGGGACACTTCCTGGGTCTAGCTGATTGAGCAGCCTCTCTAAGAAGCATTAATTGCTATTTTGTTCACCCATCTCATAAATTTATTAAAACACTTTCTTAGGTCTAAATGGTAAATATGGAAAAGAGCCAGGGTTTTACTTCTACTCTATTCTTACAAAATTAGGTTGTACATCCTTCTTACAAGCTACTCATGCTGCTTTATGACATAATAGTCAAATTCAAACTTTCAGAAATGTGTTTCATTTGGAGAAAGGGTTGTTTTTATTTTATTTATTTATTTATTTATTTATTCGTACCAGAAATCAAACTCACAACCTCTTGCTTGCCAGGCAGGCACTTTGCCGATGAGCCATATCCCCAGCCCTAGGGTATGTTTTTAGTTCTAATCAGTGATACTGGACTTTTGAAAATACTATATGAGGAACATAGAATATCTAAACTATATCTTGAACAAGAGCTTGCTTTATGTTTTTCCTGGGTCTGAAAGAGTGGGCTGAGAAAGACTAGTGAGATTTTAGAGTTATTCTGAGAATTATATGAAAAAAGAGAGATAATTATAGTGTGTATTTTGTATCTGTTTGAGCACATACAAGCCACCTTCTCAATAATGTCTGTGTTTTCCACTTTGGCTGGTGTAATAACTGAAAGAGTGCACATGTGTAATAGATGACAAGTATGTTTGTAATAGTGAGTAAAATAGTGCTTTACTTTCTTACCTTGTGTTTCTCTGGAGCCAAACAGCTGTGTAAATAAAAGATTTGCAGCGTTGCTCAAAAGAAGCTTTGGGCCTGACTGTTGATGCTCTAAGATCCAAGGTGCTGGGTTTGTTTCCAAACACTGCATTTCTCTTAAGAATTTGATATTGGAGCACACCATAACATAGTGGCATATTATTTTTTTTTCTAGTTGTATTTCTTCCAAAATAGAGCCATTACAAAAATAATAATGAGTTCTGCATATGACTATATCGAAAACCTAATTAAACATTTGTCTTAGTAAGTATTGAGGAATTATTCAGTGATTCTCTTGAAGTTGATTCTACTATCTTTTCAAAGGCTTATTCTATGTTAAAATAGATGTTGATTTTTTTTTTTTTTTTGTCTTTTTCATTTTTTACTGGTACCAGGGATCGAACTCACGACTGCCTGCTTGCAAGGCAGGCGCTTATGCCGCTGAGCTAAATCCCCAGCCCCTGATTTTTTTTTAATAAAAAGAAATTTCCTGTCACTGAGATATATTAAAGAGTATGTGTATGTGGCAGCTGATTATTCTCAGCCCCAGTGAAGACAGACAAAGGTGTACTGAGTAAAAATAATTAGAACAAAGAGACCATGGTTCTCTAATAGCTCAGAATTTATAATCTCAGATTCTTATGGACTTTGGAGATCTTTCAGCTGCAAAGTGTAAAGACAGCAAGACAGCCAGGCATGCACAGAGACAAGCTATGTCAGCCCTTCCCTGATTTACGGCATCAGCCTCCTCTGACATGCAGGTAACCAACATGGTGAATCCAGATTCATAGCTGTTTATTTAGTTGTCATTGGGCAGCAAGTGCTTTAGGAACATAATCCTGTGCTATATTTACTGGAAATCAGCCCTGACTCACAGTTAATTTAATGTCTGCCACTCTGAGAGAGAGAGAACAGGAATTTGTATCTCCTAGAAAGGAACTCAAAAGATTGAATTTAGTACCAGAGATTAAAAAATGACAATAAAAAAATCTAAGATGGATTGGTTGATTGTCCCTCCAGCTTCTGGCATGGCCTTAAGGTTCAGAAAGTAAATGATCAGTTAGATGAGATAGGGGTTTTTTTTAAAACTGTGGGTAAAATTTTCATAAGTTTGCCATCTTAACCATTTTTAAGGGTCTCATTCAGAGATGTTGACATTGTTGTACAGCTGCATTTCCAGAACTCGTTTCATCTTGCAAAACTGATTTTTTTCCCCCTGTGAAATCACAGAGGTAGAATATTTTGAGAATGACAGAAATGAAGCCAGTATAACATAACAGTCTGTCAGTTTTTATAGAGAAGGGAGGGAGGTTGGGAAGAGTTCTAAAGGCATTCATACTTTCTTTTGAGACTTGGCTCGATAGGCCGAGAATTGAATAGACCCTTGCAGCAAGTTTTCTTACTGGGCTTTGCAGTGTTTCGCAATTACTTTCTGTTTAAAAGAAAGCCTCTAAACTATAGCATGTTTATTGAAAAGCTCACAGAAAATTGCCTGCTTTGGGAATTTGTATTCAGTTATTTTGAAAAATTCATCATCCTTACTTTGATGACTTTGCCTGGGATTTGGGTAACGAGGATGACTGTCAAGGGTTTGGAAGAATCTTCCTTAGTTAGGAAAAGGAAGTAGAGCACCCTACTCTTTTTTTTTTTTTTTTTTCCTTTTTACTCAGTTCTATGTCATACATCCCCAAGTGTTGTGACTAATTCCTTTTGCTGAAAAGAAAACCTTGTATTTGACTCTTCGGAAAAAAAAAAACAAAAAAAAAAAAGAAAAAACCAACACCAGATGAAATATGGAAGCCTCTGTGTGTTCAAGTACATGAAACAATCCCTAGCAGTCATTTGCAGTAGGTATTTGGAGCCTTTTTTTCTCCTAGTAAAGTTTTTATTAAACATTTGATCCTGATGCAGGAGCAAACATAAACATAAGATAAGACCTTAAGTTTCCTTTGGCAAATACAGTTAAGTAACTGTGTGGGGGAGAATACCTTAAAGGAACTTAAAGAAATAGTATGCAGTTTCTTTGTGTCTTACTCTTTACAGGCCTTAGGTGTGAAACTCTTATGGTACAAGCAGGTCTGAACACATTTAGCATTGTATAATATAATGGTATTAAGAAGTGCTTTAATGTTGAAGAATTGCTACACTAGATGTTGCCATCATCTTTTAAATGCATTAGAACAGTATTATTAATGAAAGAAACATTGTAATCACTTGTAGAACATAAAAAAAATATAGAATAAAGGATTAGATCAAGGGCAGGGCCTAGGCACCTGACTTTTTATAAGCTGCAGCTCCAGGAAGCAGTAGAATCAAAAACCCCAATGGACGATTCCTGCACAGAGAAATTCTAGCTTTAATATGAGCATCAAATGATACCAAAGAACTTTCATTTTTAAAGTTAGAAAATTTTTTATTTCTATATATTTTTTTTAAGAATTGTTTTGGACTGTAGTGGTGCATACCTATAAATCCTGATATTTAGGAGGCAGAGGATTACCATGAGTTTGAGGCTAACTTGGGCTGTGTAGTTTATTCAAGGCTGGCCTGCACTCCATAATGAGACCCTGTATCAAAAAAAGACTCCCCTCAAATTATTTTGAAATTTATCCATTAGGGTAGATAGATCTTTTGTTGTTGTTGTTTTGAGACAGGGTCGCTATGTGGTCTAGGCTGGCCTTGAACCTCCTCCTCCTGCCTCAGCCTCCCAAGTGCTAAGATACCAGATGTGTGCCACAAAACCAGGCCTGAAGTAGACAGATTTGGTAAAAAGTGCTTATACAACCCTATTGTATTTTTGTGATGAATGGAGAACATTATTGCCTATTTACAGGAGAAACTTGAAGAGTTTTGTCATGTAGGTTAAATTCAGTTTTCAGTTCTCAGTGAATCCAGTCAGTTATTTTATTTAGTAACAGAGTTGGAAGAAAGAGTTTGGATTTACTCAGAAATATGCAACATACCCAAAGCCATGTATACTGGAATTTAAGGAATTTGCAACAGCTATGTTGACTCTATACAGTGTAAGACTGTGTACTGTACCAAGTATGATGTCAAGTTCATTATATTAAAATTTAAAATGTTATGCATGGTGGTACATACCTGTAATGCCAGCATTCATGAAGCTGAGGCAGGAGGGTTGCTGCAAATGCCAGGCCAACCTGGACTACACAGTTAAGACGGTCTTAGAAAACAATCAAGAATTTAAAATGTTTTCCATTTAGTCATGTGTCATCTTGTGCTTTGGTAATTTTTTCATCTCATTATGACTCTTTTCTTTTTAGAGATAAAGAAACCACCAGTGGCCCCCAAGCCGAAGTTTGTGGTGGCAAATAATAAGCCAGCTCCCCCTGCTATTGCACCCAAACCTGACAGTGTGGTTGCAAGCACTCCACAGTCCACAAAGAAAACCAAACCAGCTATTGCACCCAAACCAAAAGTTCTGAAGAGCTCACCTGTGGAAGAGCTGTCGCCGTCACTGCTGAGGAGAACTGGGACCCAGGAAGAACAAAAACCAGGGGCGCCCCAAAGCACTGACAGCTTTAATTGCATAAGTATAGGGGATCAGAGCAGCGATTGTGTTTTACCAAAGTGTCCCTGTGGTTCTGGATGCATCTGTAAGCTTGAGAATAAAAACATGAGTGTAAAGCAGCTTGTTTTAGAGCCCTTGGAAATGAAAGAAAATTTGGAAAACAGTAAAATGGATAAGTCCTCTTTGATGATAAAAACTCAGATGAAATGGAATTCTGGTGAAAAGTGTAGGAGCCAGAGCGGAGTGATTTTAAAGGCAAGCATCTTAGAAGCCAAGCTCAAAGACGCTTTGAGACAACAGATGTCAGCGTTCGGTTACCCGCAGAAGCACATATCTGCAGGCAGCTTAGAAATAAATGGGGGTGGCAGCACCATTGAAGGCTTTGGCGTTGATCTGCCAGATGCCTCCCCTTGCCCGTCCAGCTTTGAGAAGGTGCCTGTTTCTCCGAACTGCCACTTGCAGCATCCTAGGGGTGAATTTCAAAACCTTGAAACTTACAAGGAGGGAAGCAAAAAAAGTAATAATTACTTTGATTCCTCTGAACCAGAAGCTCTGGGAAATGATAAAAAGGATATGTTTATACCTTCAGGTGAAGTTAGTAAGAATACAAAAGTGAAAGACCTCAGTCCCGTAGCAGTTGACTCAGTAACCGGCAGCCCCAAATTTCCTACCCCGAAGCCCAGAAGGACGCGTCTGTTACGCCAAAAGCATGTAGACAGTCCTAGTGAAAGTGCCGCGGAACCAGAGGATGACTCTAATAGCTGTTCTTGTCCAGGTGAAGTTAGTTTGAAAAACAGCGAAGTCAGTGTTCTTGGGGAGAATGTTCTGTGTCACCAGGATTCAGTGAACAAAGTGACACCAGGCGATAAAAGTGAACTGAATGGCAGCTCCAGTGGGGACAGACAAGATCTGTGTCATGGGACATCTTCCCTCGAGAACACAGCACCTTCTTTAGATACAGACTCTAATTTGAGTTCTGACAGCAGGGCAGACGTAGATGGTCCTAATACATCACATGATGCGGACAGAGGGACCTATTTTACCAAATCCAACACTCTGTCTTGGAGCCTGCCTAAGCAGCTGACATTAACCTGCAGTGACCATCTGCCAGCAGGGAACCTGGGAATGTCCGCCCCTTCAGTGCAGAAGGGTTGTATGGTGAAACAAGCAAGTTCCTCAAGAACTGTCCCCAAGAAACCTCAGAGGCACAGCTTGCCTGCTACGGGAGTGCTTAAGAAGGCTGCCTCTGTGGAGCTGGTGGAGAAAAGTTCTTATCCCTCAGCCGAAATAAAAAGTTCAGGGGAGGTTCTAGAAGGAAATCACCTTCAGCATTTCTGTACCCCAGGCCAGGCTGTGTCGTCATCCTGCTTTGATATGCCTAAACGGACTTCAGAGAAGCCGGTGTGGAAATTACCTCATCCTATTTTACCCTTTCTGGGGAACTCAGAATCCTTAAAGTTTGTCACTGTGTCTTCCAGTAGTGATGCTTCCGTTGCCCTGCCCAAGCCAAGAGCCAAGTCAATGTCCTCAGTGGATCTGGACAGGTGCACCAAGCCTTGCAAGCACTCGCCTAAGAAAAACTCTTTCAGACAGTTGTTCAACAGGAAGCTGTCCATGTGTTTTATGAAGGGAGACTTTCCAAAATTGCGGTCCAGGAGTAGCCAGGCTGGAGACACAAACAGAGCTTCCCTGTGGGCCGGGGGACGGGGTGGACTTGGGGGTGACTGGAGTGGCCTGATGGTGGCTGACTTGGAGAGGAGAGGCAAACCTAGCAAGGCCTATTCCGCCGATCACTACAGCCCGGAGACTAAGAAGAAGAAGAAGAAGAAGAGGTCCTGGGGCGGGACTGGTGTAGCTAATGGTCCAAAAGCAGAGTCTCTGGATGACCAAGTGCTCTCCAGGGAGCCCTCCTCCCTGGAGCCCGGCAAGGGGGTGACAAGTGTCTGTGCGCCAGAGTACGAAAACGTGCGCCACTACGAGGAGATCCCGGAGTACGAGAACTTGCCCTTTGTGACCGCTGCGGGGAAAACTCTGGAGTTGGAAGGGTGGAATTCCAGCAGCACCGAGGACACCGATGCAAATGTGTACGAGGTAGAAGAGCCGTGCGAGGCTGCGGGTGACCAGCTGCCCCGGGGGCCCGGATATCCGTGTTCCAGGTAACACTTGGTGCCTGGCAGGCACGGCACTTCTGTTTTTCAATTTTTATTTTCCCTTAGTATGTGCTCGCACTTCTCCGTAACACATCTTCGTTCTTTTCCCTCACCTTCACCTGCCTACCCTCCCTCTCTGGGTCTTCTTCCCTTTTGTAAAAGATCTATCTCCCTATTTCCTATTGTCTTTTATTTTGGTCTTTATACTTCGGATTTTTCATGTAAGAGAAACCAGGTGTTACCTAAGCTCGTATGTCTGATTTACTTTACTTCACATGGTTTTAAGGTGCATCCGTTCTGGTACAGATGACTTTAAGTTTATTCTTTATGGCAGAGTGGGACTCCATTATGTGTAAATAGCACATTTTTTACATCTTTTCATCTATGAATTCTTTTGGGGTGGGGTACTGGGAATGGAACTCAGGACTTCACATTTGCCAGGCAGGTACTATGCCCCTGAGCTGTATCCCTGGCCCAGTCTGTTCATCTGTGGATAGACGATGGGCTGCTTCCAAGATTTAGCTCTTACAAGTTGTGCTGCTACGAACACAGATATGTATGTGTCACTGTAAATATAATGTCTTTATCTCTTTCTGGAGAATACCTCGAAGGGGAATATCTGGGTCAAACAGAATTTCTCTCCTTAGCTTTTTGAGGAATCTCGATACTGATTTCAAAAGTGGTTGTACTACATTTGTGCCAGCGACCACGTAGAAGGGTACCTTTGTCCTGTACCTTCAGTAGCATTTACTGGTATTTGATTTGATTTCTTTTCTTTTTTTTTTTTTTTTTTTGGTTCAGGGAATCAAACTCGACCTCACGCTTATCAGGCAGTATTTGATTCTTGTTGATGACCATTCTTCCTGGCCATCATGGTGGAGTCTGTTGTTTTAATGTGTGTTTCTCGAATGGCCCATGGTGTTAAACATTTTTCATGCATTTACTGCCCAACAGTTGCCATTTCTGTGCATAGATCATTACAATTAACCTTCAGTAGCCCTGTGAGATAGGAATGGGGGGGGCAAGCGGCTTAGTGAGGGACTGATAGACACTGTCCACCTGCATCCTCTTGGTGTCATACAGCCGAAGTTTGCATGGCAGTTTTGAAATTGTTGGATTATTTTAGCAGCCGAGTCAAAGAATTTAAGTAGGTGCAGCATAGTGACTACAAGGAAGACCTGCCAGAGAGAGGTCAGGAGTTCTAGCATGGATCCTGGGACTGGAAATTGGTTAATTCAGTGAGGTTTTTGTGTTAAGGATGAGAAATCTGAAGTTACTGAAATTCATGTATTTACTTATGGTGACCTTATCAGATAAAAGCTAAAGATTTGTGGGAGGTTTTTTTTGTTTTTGGTTTTGCTTTTTGAGGCAGGATCTCACTATGTAGTTCAAGCTGACCTTGAACTCTTGGAGAATCCTCCTCATTAAGGAGTTAAATTCTCCATCTTATTAGAGTCTCCAACAAATAGAAAAACAAGTCTCTTATTTCCTGTTGGTTTCTATGTAGCCTAAGCTGGTTTCAAACTCATGGCAGTCCTTCCGCTTCAGCTTCCCAAGTGATGGAGTTACAGTGCCTTTGCTGTTTACTAGGGTGTGAGATTTTGCATTCAACTTTAGGCTCCTAGAGGAGTTCTAGGCTTTGTCTTTTATCCTGCATGAGGCCAAGCAAGCGGCCTAGTAGGCCAGCAGTGGATGGGGAGAGGTGTGGGAGAGAAAGAATGAAAAAGAGGCAAAGGACCTCAGTGGCAGCTGCTCCCTCTCGCAGGCACAAAGGATGCCTGTGCTTTGTGTTTGAAGTGTTTGTGTCTAAGGAAAAGGCCAGGAAGCCCCTTTTGAAGTCTTCAGATTATGCCTAGGCTACTGTCAGTGCTTTGTGATTTTTATAGAATTACGGTGGTATGTTGGTTCACAAATACTTCTGTTTGTGGGCAGTTTGGTTCAGAAACAGAAGTGTTTGGCAAAATTTTGTTTTTGTTTGCAGACTGTGTTGGATGACAAACATGACCCTGACCATCTTTTCCCCATGAACACCAATGTGGCCATCTTTTCCAAAATCATGGAACAAATTACGTTTGTGAGTCAAGGCCCACTGTCCTGACATACCCAGTACTCAGTGGAGCTCAGAAGGGGAAGGGTCAGTGTGTGAGCTGAATAAAAGTCAAAAAAGTCAGAGCAGCCAGTAAGGTCAAGAGAATGGCTACTCAAACTCTCAGACGTTTTGTTTAGGTATTGTTTTGTTTTTCATTTGTTTTTGTTTTTGAGACAAAGTTTCACTATGTAGTTCAGGCTGGCCTTAAACTTACTATGTAGCCCAAGCTGGCCTCAGACTATGATGATCCTCTTGCCTTAGCCTCCTGAGAGCTGATATGCTAGGCATGTGCCACCATGCCTGGCAAGTGTCCTCTTTAATGTTTTTGTATATTACTTGTGTCTCTCTCTGTATGTGTGTACATGTGTGTGCATACAGAGACTTGATTGGCTTCTTCAAGATACACTAGTATTTGGCTAGCATAATTTTTTTTTTTTTATAAAATTGTTTCTTGAAACTGAAGGTTGGTCTTTCCTATCAGGACTCAGATTTAAATCCTGAGCGTGTACATTTACCAGTCTCTGCCATAGGCATGGCACTTCTGGAATTTGTTGTTGTTGTTTTAAATAGGGTCTGACTGCAGAGTTCAGGCTGGCCTTGAGCTCACTGTGTAGCCCTACTGGCCTCAAACTTGCAGCCCTCCTGCCTCAGTTGTGCGCCACCACTCCTGTCAGGAGCTTGTTCTTTGGGTGTGCTGCTGGCTCTGGGTCCCCAGGTGGGCAGGGGCACAGGTACCCAGCAGCCAGTGCTGTTGGGCAGGCAGCCCTGGGGCGTCCTTCTGGAGGCTGTCCGGCTGGACTGCCTGGCTAGGGAAGGGTCCACAAGCTCTGCCTTGAAGGTTCACCTTCCTGCTTTGAGATTTGTATTTAACCCTGGAGCGGGAATTCTCTAACTGGGCTTCCAGACTGCTGCTTGCTGAATCAGAAACCTTCAGTGTTAGGGCAGACTCACAGCTTGCCTCAGAAGCCTTTGCTTTTTGTTAGTGTTTGAGACAGAGTCTTGCCATGTGCCGGGATTACAGGCCTGCATCCAATTGAGACCACACCCAATTGAGACCATTGCTTTTGTAAACTACATTAAATAATCATAGAAAGCAAAATCCAAGCTCTTGAGGAGAGAACCTGAATACCCTGAAACAAGGTAAATGAGAAGCAGGACATATGAGCCAAGTGAGTCCAAGCAGAACTCCTGCCTGGCAGCTGCTGAATTTGTAGACCTGTGTCTTGGAAAGATTAATTCAAAATCCAACATCCTGTCTGGGGTCCTAATGAATCCCGTTAAGATTTTCCTGCAGAGTCATCAGTGGAGTTCATAACGTGTGTCACCCCTGGTAGGGGAGAGGCTGCCTACCCAGGGTCCTAGATCAGAGAATCTTGGCTTTTAGCATCTGCTGGTGGGCAAGGCATGGTGGTGCATGCCTGTGATCCCAGCACTCGGGAGGCTGAGGCAGAAAGATATTGCTGCAAGTTCACAAGGTCAGCATGAATTACATAGTGAGACCCGTCTCAAAACAAAACAAACTGTTTGACTGTTTAATCAGCTGGATTCCAGGCGAATACAGAGACATTTGGCAAGCCCGGGGTAGCTCCTGTGGTCACCTTCTCTAGAATGTACATATTTCCTGAATCTGACAGATATGTGGTGACATTTTTTATCTATAAGGGAATGATAGGCAACCCTCAGTTCTATTGTTTGATTGACTGACTGATTGATTCAGACAGAGTCTCACTATTTAATGCTTGCTGGGCTTTGAACTCCCTATGTACCCCAGGCTGGCCTGGACCTGCAGGGGTCCTCCCGCCTCAGCCTCCTGAGTGTGTGACAAACTGAACCTCAGGCTGCCTTTCCCAAGTAGACCTCCCCTCCCCGCATTGTGTACCATGTAGCCTGTGCTGTCTGGACCTCTGCTCCCTGTCCCCAGGCAAATTCCCTTGTCCCTTCACTGTGAGTTCCTGTGTGATACAAGCCAGGACCGGGCTGAAGCACAGGGCTGAGGCAGCAGGGTTTGTGCAAAGGGCGAGGTGACTAAGGAAGAATGAGGAAGTTGGGGGCTGGGCTGGCTGTGCGCTGTTAGGGCAGGGAAGTGATGAGCCGGAAGGGTGCGGTGGATGGAAATCTGTAAACTAAGGATTTTTCTACCTCTCATCCCACTCAGTTTATTTATTTTATTTACTTTTGTGATACAGGGGATTGAACCCAGGGTTTTCACACTGAACTACGTCCCCCGTCTTTTATCTGTTTCTTTGGAGACAGGGTTTCACTGAGTTACTAAATTATCCAGGCTAGGCTCAATCCTGGCCATCTTCCTGCCTCAGCCTCCCAGAGTGCTAGGATCACAAGAGTGCATGACCACAACCCGCTCCTGTCTCTTCTCTTCCTCCCCATGCTCCTTGGCTAACTCTGCCTGGTTCTGCTAATTGCTGATTGTGTCTGACTGCAGACAAGAGTAGCAGAAACGGGATGGTGGGTAGTAAGGAGGGTGCTGGGAACCAGCCTGGAGGGTGATAACCTCAGTCCGAAGGTGGAAGAGGGGGAAGAGAGGGGGACGTGCGCGTGACCATGGAAACCAGGGCTTGGGTGCTCCCTGCTGGGTCAGCTTCTGGTCACTGCCTTGCCATCTCCACATCCATCCTTGGATGGAAGTCAGGTTGGAGCCCCGTGGCACATTGCACTGGGTTTGGGGTACAGTTGTGGAACCTTGTCCATGGACACTTTTGTTTTCTTGGTGTGCAGGTGATAAGATTTCATTTCCTACTATTTTTATTCAGGAAGTTTGATTTTCAGAGGGAAGTTCCTAACCTTTAGGCCATCGACAGGTCAGCAAAGCAACAGAATTCAAATGCTGGAATTTTCCTTTTGAAATTGAGGTGGACTTCTTGATTTTTTGTAAGAAAGAAAACTTTCCCTGGAAACATTC